TGGAAGGGGAGCTAGGATTCCACTGACAACAATATACTACAAGTGAATATTTTCATAAATGAAGAACTAGAATGACAGTTTGGCCTTTCCTGTATGAAATGGGGCTCTTTATATGGACATAGAGCCTTCAGTTGGAGTAGAATCTATAAAGGACAAAGTATTCAAATTAAGACTTTTTGAAGGACAAAAAATTCCTTCTGATTAAGATCAATCCCTTTATGAAAATGAGAGAAGTTATCTTATAATGGCATTCTGAAGAAATGGTCATTAGTGGTGTGTCAGTCATTTTCTAGGTCAACACCTTCACTCATCTTTATTCCATTTTGCAGTCCTCTCACCTTGCTCTCCTCCCTCTCTTGCTTCAGGACATAAAGGGCCTTACACAGCCTGGCCAGGTAAGGGAAAGCAGCAGTACAAACTACTTGTTTAGTAGCAGAACTGCAAAAAGGATTGTAGGAGATAAACTCTTTGTGCTTTCACACAGCCCACACAAGCATTAGCTTAAAATATCACTGTAATGTATTTTTCAGTGTCACTTGCTGTTTATTCCACTTAATGATCCTTTTCATTTTCTCTTGTGTGTGCACAGACTTACAATGCTGCTTTAGTAACTGATGATGATGAGAATATGCAGTCTGGTGGCAACAATTACTAGGCTAATAAATAATGTCCTGTATTGAAGCTATAACTGCCTTTCTTATGAATAGATTTAAAGATATTAGTATATTAGTCATGATATAGGCAGTTAAATACACTGAAATTCAAACTGTTGTTTAATAAAGTTTGTCCAACACACAAATCGTACAAACTACTGTGTAATCAAATGTGTCTCAGCTAGACTTAACAGCTGGTCAACTAAAATCCATGGAAACACCAAAGAACCACTGCAGAACACATGGTGAGCATTCAGCAACTCAAATCATCACACCTTTAGCCTAACATATTTGACATGACTTATTACCATCTACACATATTATAAACTAACATTATAGTTTTACAGGAAGAAATACTCACAAAATGGAATTAAAAATAAGCGTGGTAAGGAAACACCCTATCACAGTCACTGCCCTGAAAGCATTACCACTACTGGAATCACTTGTTTCTGAAGTCACCTTCAGGTGGTGTTTCATCACTTGCCTAAAAGAGCCATTGGCAAGCCACCATCTGGTATGGCTCTAGGTTAATGCTGCTGGGAATAGAGCTGCAGTTCTGTTACCATTCTAGAGCCAGGGCTGTTAATAATTCAGGACATAGCTGAAATAGAAAGTATTGAACTGGGGATAACCTAGAGATTCTGTTTGTTCCATCTAATAATGGCACAAGGGAACACCCTAATTTGTTGCTGTTTGATGTCTCCACAGAGGGGAAAAAACCCCATAAAATGCGGCTTTGTCTTATCTCCTATCCAAGTACATAAAATAACGTGCAACTTCCCTAAAAGCTTTAAGGTGGGATATGAGTTTAAAGGAAGAAGAATGACAGTGCTGTTGATCACTTCTCCAAAACAGGGGCTCCCAGCTCCCCTGGCAGTTCAGCTGGCAGTACGGGATACTCGGTTTAACAGAGCTCAGTTCCCCTCAGCTCACAAAGTGCTGGGGACAAATTAACTCCCTGGCCTAGGGTGGAGCAGCCTGCAGTGCACCACCTGCAAGGGCACAGCACGATTTCCATCTCACAGTGTTTCACTGCTTCCCACAGAGTGATCTGTTGCTTTGTAAAAATATGTTCTCTCACACGTTGCCAGTCTGTCACAGAAACCCCTTCTTGACTAGAAAAAGCAAGCAGACAGAACCAAGACAAGAAGAAACCCCACAAATTTTGGTACTTAACCAACTTTTATGCTCATTTTTATTTCAATATTATCTTGACTACTATTGTTGCCTAGTAAAAATCCATTTGTCGATTGATTGTAACAGCTGCCTGCTAATAATCTCTCAGCAAGAGAAGGGTAACCCTTTGTGTGGTGATGGCTGAACTGGTTTCAGCAACAAGTCTGGAAGAGACAACTAGAAATATCCATCTGCTTCTCTGTCCTTGTTAGAAAATAATCCCTTGAATACTGGTGAGTCACAGGGGCACAGATAAGCTTGGGGGAGTGAGGGGAAAGCTATACTAACAAAATGTAACCAACAGTGCCCATCCCCTAACATTTCCAAGTGGCTTCACACCTCAACCTCGTCAAAGCTAAGCAAAAAGGTTTGTGTGTTATCCCCCATTCCTGTTTTTTGTTTAAAATCAATATTTTCGAATCCAGAGGAGGATCTCCAGGAGGTAATTCAGATCTAATAAAGAAACAGAGGACACCTGGTGGTGTTTAGTTGTTAGCATAAACAAACAGCAAGCCAACTCAGATGTGTGTGCAGCTGCACCAGCAACAATTAACATAATTCATGCTTTAAATAAATAAAATATGAAGTGATGGAGAACTTAAAATAGTCTAATCACAAAAACACACAGAAATTTAAAACAAACAATATGAGCTTCTGATTCCAGATGCCCCCACTTCTTCATGAAAATTGCTCTTTATTTATAAAGGTTACAGGCAAGAAGTAGCAACTGCATGTTCATAGGAGGCTGCCACCTCCAACAGGCACATGCTATGGAAAAGTAGGACAGAATCCCCACTACTCAGAAACTAAAGGACACAAAGTTGTCAGTTTTGCTGGAGAAAGATCCACGGAGGCAAAAGCAGAGATCTGAATGAGCCAATCCTGGGGCAGCAGTAGCACCCCAGTGAGGTACTCAGCACCCCCTGAACCATGGCATTCCTGGCACCGTGGAGAGGAACCACTGGTCCATACAGAAACGCACATGAGAGCTGAGCCCAGCTCCAGATTGCTAGATCAACTCAGGGACTGACAGACTGTAAGTATTCAGATCTCCATATTAACTTAGTGAAACTGGTTATTTTTTATTGAAGATGCTGTTATTAAGATAACTCTGTGAAGATCCAATGCTGGAAGATATAACATATGTCTCGGAATTCAGACACTGAACAGAGTCAGTGAGCCTCCTTCATTCTAAGGAGCTGGAGAACACAGAGGCAAGGTAGAAACAAAAACCACACTTGCAGACAAGCTGTCTAGTTATGTAGGGGCTATTCAAAGTTCCTATTTTGTTGCCAAAAAATGATGCTCTCTCATGAGAAACATACTGCAGTAAGTATTACAATTTTTCGGGCTGAAAAAAAATGAATAAAAGTAAAAGATGACTGTGCAACATACAGAATATTGTACCCTTCCTAACACAACTTTAATGCATGGACTCCATCCTAGCCGAGATTCTAAGTGTGAAAATGTTGTTAAAAAAAACCCCAAAACAAGTACTTGTATCTTTTGAACCAGCACTGTCAACAGAAGAAATCTTATCATCTCCCCTGCTTGTACCAGCACAAATATGTGTGGTAAAGAACACTGGTGACCTGCTTAAAACTAGACTGGTTTAAAAATCTCAACAACCCAAAACAGGTGGTTTTAACCCACATCAATTCCCCAATCTGTTCTGATATGCAGCCACACAAACACCTACACTGATACAAGTGGATAGAAGAAAACTGCTCCCCTCAACAGCAGTGCTGGCTAAAACTGCAAATCCAACTGAAGACCTTCTGGTGTTTGCAGACTTTCTTACCAAAGTCAGCAAAGCAAAAGTTCCACTGAAACAGATTAGAGGCCAAGCTCAAAATCAGTACAACACATAAGATACCGCCACGTAAACTTTCAGATCAGCTCTGAATTTTGTCCCAGATCACAAGCTATTAGTCTCAAAAACTAATTGTGCTATTGGAAACAAAACCAATTTAAATGTCAGTAGTAGATGCAAGAAACAAACTTTAAATGTAGTCTTAAATACGTAAAAGACAGTCAAGGAAGAACAGCAAAGAATAGAGTTGTAGGAAAGTTGGAATGTAAGGGTTTTAAATTATGTGAACAAAATCCACCTTGGAAGCCCCAAGGAGAGGATTTGAGCTGGCAAGGTCAAGGTTGAGATGGACAATTGTGCAATACTCAAGCAATCTTTTCCCCAGATTTTTTTCTAATACACAAATACTCAAGCAAAAAGGTTCCAGATATCATGCCCTCTCAAGAATTTGCTTTGTTACCTTAATTTTTAATATTAGTCAACAATATAACTTCACTGAAGGGTTACCAGTCTGTTAATTTTCAAACAAGCTTCCCCTTGTTTACTTGCTCATTAGAATAAGTGCATTCTAGGTCAATACCATCCATACCAATATCTATAAAGACCTTTAGCTTCTATTTGGATTTAATGAAATTAGACTTCTTTATAATAGCAAAGAAGGTATTTTGAAAGCCATAAACCATAGGAAGATAAAACATGATCTTTGGGAACCAGATTCAGGGAAGCATAAAAACATGAGAGAACAAGACACGCTTCAGTTTCCTGAGCCACTTTTATGCATTTAGCACTCTCATTGAGTTCAGACAGATTTATTATGTAGGACTTAAACACTCAAACTAAGCCAGGCTCAGCACGAGGAGAGCGCGAGACAACCCTGAGCACAACCAGGATGATTAAACGCTGTGGTCTTTGTGTTTGAGTTCCAAAGGGAACGTGTGAAGGACTGCAACGCTGGTGATAATTTCTGAGGAAAGCCTTGGAACAGTATAAAATATGAATAAAAAAGATAAATAATAATAAAAAAAGGGAAGGAGGAGGAAAAAATAATCAAAGAAGATGCACAAAATTGCGAGGACCTAAAAAAATTAAACTGAAAAAAGGGTAGTGGAAGAATAAATGTGAAACCCACCTGCTGAACCCACCTCGCTGAGGGGAGCCCTGAAGGAGCATTGAGAGGCGCCCTGAGGGGACCCCTGAGGAGACCGTGTCGGGAGCCC